TAAATGGATAGACAAACAGCTAGATAGACAGAGATAAACAGATAGATACGTCCGTGAATGTGAGTAAAAAGGCAGATATTTGTATATAGTACATGTGCGTGTTTTAACGAATTTAGAGACGACATGATTTTATATTTGGAACTGTTCCCATCCCAGGCAGTGGAAAGCACAGTAAGAGCCGGACGTGTTTTAGGTCAGATAGCAGGATGATCATCGTTATTACTGTTATCACTGTTGTTGCTCGTCTTATCATGATTGCAGGGATCCGGTTTTGCATCATGCTTGCTTAGTCATTGCAGTTCCTTTTTTCATGCCTTACGTGCGTATTTTGCAAGTTTCCGTTCTTACATATCTCCGTAGTATTTCAGTATCCGAGCATCTGGGTCTTGTGCATACTGGCATATCACATGTTAATTCTGCTTATGCCGTGCGCCGTCCGTCAGGCAAACAGACCTCATCTCGGGCAAGGGATGACCAAGCACATTCGGGCGCAGGAGTAAGTCGTGTGTGTAACCTCCCTGGGTTATTTCCTCATCAGGCTCGCTCGAATTCACCGTGCATGCGGAGGGCTCATTTCGATAGCATAAACTAAATGGCTTGGATTATACGTTTTTTTTTATATATATGTTAAGTTGATTAGAAGCGATATTTAAATGTGAGTGACGGGGCGGTTTTCTTTCAGAGTGATTAGTTAATGGGAAGGCTTGTGGAATCATGCCCGCTTTTACAATTTTGAAGTTTGTATCCTTATACCAAGTTTCTGTTCAGTGTAAGTCATATATATCCAAAAGAAGGCCTTGGGATCTGTGGGAGTGGATAGAGCTCCCAAGTTAGAGGCTTTATACAAGGCCTAAACAGTTTTACCGTAACGGTGTTGTCGCCAGCCTAATACCAATTTTCAAAGAAAGTCTAAAAGGATTTCCCACTACATATAAGGGCTCAGCGTTCACCCAGCGCGACGTGGATCGCCAGATGTTCACGCTGACTCCATCTGACCCGAATTGGATTACGTCACTGCTCCGCCGTTCAGAGTCGTTGTTTGTTTAGTTGTGCTGAGAGGAAGGTCGCAGCGGAGGGATTCTTTCAGGCATTAGGGCTGTTATGAACGCACAAAGCTCAATTATATATAAGCTCAAAGAATCGTGAGGTCGCGAAAGCCTTCATAATTGCTGGCGGTAATGAAGCAGCTAGATCAGTCTTTTGCTGTTGTTGTTTTTTGTTGCACATGTTGGTGGAAAGTGGGGATTCGGAAGGCTAGCCTGTGGTTGCGGAGTTGTTGGAACTCTTTAGATATCCCAGGGTTTTCAGTGCGTTTAGTAACTCTAGTAAGATTAAAGAAATTGTTTGGTAAAAGTATGTGGAAGTATGCAATCTGGCGAGAGAGAAAGAAATGTGACGGGGAATTTAGTGGAATCTTCTTCGTAAATATAAAGAATTACGAGACACATTCTCTCTCTCTCTCTCTCTCTCTCTCTCTCTCTCTCTCTCAATATAATATATATATATATATATATAATATATATATATATAAGAGAGAGAGAGAGAGAGAGAGAGAGAGAGAGAGAGAAGAGAGAGAGAGAGGATAGGTGTGTGTGTGTGTGTGTGTTGTGTGTGTGTGGTGTGGTGTGTGTGTGTGTGTGTGTGTGTGTGTGTGTGTGTGTGTGTGTGTGTGTGTGTGTGTGTGTGTGTGTGTGTGTGTGTGTGTGATGTTATATGAATGTATGCATACATGTATATTAGTACTGTATATGTATGAGTATGTGTATGCATGTATATACATTTATGTGCATATATATGCATTTATGTATTATGAATGCATGTATGTATGTCCATATATGTGTTCGTTTGTATGTCTGTCTGTCAGTATGTACGTTTCTTGGTATTTTGGAATATAATATATCACTGTAAAATAAAACAATTACAATTCCACAGAATATTTATCAGGCCAACAAAAATAATTAGACCTTGAAAAAAAATAGTGGGTGTTATGGCGACAAAATCAAGAATTTATGAACGTGCTGGAGCAGTGCAGTATTAGTACATGTTTCACTACTTTCTGTGAGGCAATAAATATCCTTTTGATTTTCACAATGCTGTTTTTTTCATAAAAAAGTGTTATCATATGATTGCTAACTCTTCCACAGACGGGCACTAGGATACAAGGCGCCATGTGAGGTCTAAGTTTGTTTACGTGTGACGTCATAGCGCACTAGGAGTGAAGAGGGCGCAGGGATACGTCAGGTTCGGCGGAGGTCGCATTTCTTCTTTTAACATCCGGCATGGATACGATTTCGTGAATTCAGAGCAGGAAAAGAAAAACAAGACGGGCTATTATTAGATACACTTAGCCGAATCTGATATGTGTCATGGAATATAAATATTTTGGCGTTCCAGCTCAAAATAATTCAAATCTCTTTATTTCTCTCTCTCTCTCTCTCTCTCTCTCTCTCTCCCTCTCTCTCTCTCTCTCTCTTCTCCTCTCTTCTCTCTCTCGTCATCT